TTTTTCAGTGATTTTTATCCAATATTTCATAATCCAATTGTAAATTATCGAAAAAAATTACGATGTTCATATGAAGTTGTTTATCCATTGTATGTACAAGAGATAATTTTTCTATTGTTATTCTAACATTGTTGTTTTTTGTGTATTCTCATTTTAGACAAAGTGCAATTTTCATTTTATATACATATGCAAGTTTAATTATGTTACTTATAAGACCATTTTTTATTTCAATAATTCATCAAAAATTTATTTCAGCATCAATTTATAGTGCTCTTCATTTTTATCCATGTTTACTTGTATTACATGCTTTATGTGGTGGTCTTATTTGTAAGAAATAAAAAGAAAATTTATAGATTTGATTTGACTTTTTTTTTTTTGTGTGTGTTATAGATTTTTCTTTTCCAATTTTGACCATTACTAGTTCTGTACTTCTTAATGCTATTCATTTTACTTTAATTGCTAATGAAGAAAATGAATGGATTCCATTTCTACGAAAACTTTGTGGAAATATTCAAAATTGGATTATTTATTTGATACATATTATTCTTCTTCTTTGTGGTTTAGTTAGTTTTACACAAATTGAAAATGAATATGATTATATATTATTACCTATTGTTTTTCTACCAGGTCTATTGTATATTTTATTGTATAAATTTACAGGAACAAATACAATAAGACCGATAGGAAATTAAAATAAATATCTGGGATATTGTATTCTGGTTTTTCTTTTTTTTTGCTTTGGTGTTCATGTTATATACGTTTGTTTTTAGATGGTTACTGATCTTATTAAAATTCCTTGTGTAAGAAATTTAGTTTTTCGTGACCATCTACAATCGCATCCTGAATCAATAGTTAATATTACTTTACATAATGTTATTGTTACACATAAACAACATGATGGAAATTATAAAGAACTTTGGGTAAGAATAGTTATTTGAAAGAAAGAAAAACAAAACCTATTATTCTAATATTATTCTATAGATATTTTATACCAATATAGATGCGATTCAACCGAAATTTCCAATGAAAAATGAATTTCGTTCTCAATTAACACCTTCACTATCATTATCTTCCACTTATACAATTATTGTTCGTCTTAAAACATTAGAAACATGTTATTTTGACATTCCAGTTTTGGATGAAGCAATCAAATTAGCTGAATCATTAGATGCACTTATAGCAAATACAGGTATAGTAAGATTTGTTTATTATAAAATCGTTTGATTTGGTAATTTTAGAAAATATTTAAGACATACCAAAAGTAGTGGCAGTAGTACTATAATAAATTATAGAAGGCTTGAAGAAATTTTCTCTCTCTATATATATACTGATAGTCTAAACAATATTCTATAATTCGTATGATAATATTAGAATTTCGATCAAACCTGTTCACTTATGATTTAGATCGATAATGAAAGTGTATGTTTTTACATTCAAGTTTGCACTGTACTATAATTTTTTTTTCGGTGATCAGTCTCGAACTCTCAAAACAGTTGAAAGATGATATGCATGGTTTGGTGAAGAGAACGACCTATTAGACCTGAAATTTAGACTATGTCTTCCAGCGTTCGCTGTTTAGATATACAACGAGCGATAATCTTTTCTAGTTCACGATGATCCAAGATTCGTCACGGCGTAGGTCAGTATGCCCTTGCAATTTGTCAATGGTAACATTAGGATCATCATTAATAAGGCAATGAGTACGTTCGATCTTTTCAAATGTTGTTCAGTTATAGATCCGCTGAATCATGTTGCATCTTAACAAAGTCATTCATATCATCTTTTAACTGTTCTGAGAGGTGGAGCAAGGCCGTCGAAAATAAAACATACTAAAGTACAAACTTAAACGTTGAAGTGAACAGCTTTGATAGAAATTCTAATATTATCATACCAATGGAAGAATGGAGAATTATAGAGCACTATTTGGATTATCAATATATATAGAGAGAACATCTCTTCGAGCTTTTTGTAAGATATTATACTTAGGGCATACCAAAAATAGTGGCGCCCGCATCTCAATTTCTTATAGAAGGCTTGAGTAAATTTTCTTTTTTTATGAGGTGATAGAGAAAACGAAGCTCTATTTTTCTGTGCTATTTCATCTCTATTTAACTGGTATTATAATAATAGAATTTCGATAAGAATTGTTTTTGCGTAAAATTTCACTGACGCGTGAGGCAGATTAAATATTTGAATCGCTTAATACGTTGTATTAAAAAACAAAATATACCAAATGATGCAGCGTGAAAAGATCTACAATTTACATAAGATGACTTTTTTTATAGTTGTACTTTTTGTTTTCAAAATGAACAAAATTTTGAGTGATCAAGTTTCGAATGTGCGAAAACTATAGTTTTTGATGTAAGATGAGTTCATTTGTTCTTATTTCACCTTTTTGTCTTTTGATATCCTTTGTTTAAAAAAAACAAAATATATCACAAGATGCGGCGTGAAAAGCTCTACAATTTACATAATAAAGTTTGTTTTAATTATGTCGCCTTGTCAAAAGAAAACAAAATTCTGTGTAACCAATCTTCGTTGCCCGAAAAATATCATCCAAAGAGAAATTTCTTTTTACTTATTTCAAATACAAAATAAACTGTTCTTTATAAATTGTAGAGCTTTTCACGCTGCATCTTTTGGTATCTTTTGTTTTTAAGTATAACGTATTAAATGATTAGAAATTGGAATAGAAAGCGTACTAATCGATTAGTGAAGTTTTACGCAAAAACAGTTCTTATCGAAATTCTATTATTATAATACCAGTTAAATAGAGATGAAATAGCACAGAAAAATAGAGCTTCGTTTTCTCTATCACCTCATAAAAAAAGAAAATTTACTCAAGCCTTCTATAAGAAATTGAGATGCGGGCGCCACTATTTTTGGTATGCCCTAAGTAGTACAACGATAACTACTTTGGATATGTCCTTAGTATTATAAGTTTCTTTTTTTTTTTTTCTGTTTTAGATGGATCAATTTGTGATGTAACATTTTTATTTCCATTTTGTTTTCCACGTGATTTTGAAGTTATTCAAGATGGTTGGACAGCATTTTCTGTCGAATCTGAATTTAGTCGTTTACAAGCTATTAGTGATGAATGGCGTATTAGTGATGTTAATAAAAATTTTGATGTATTTATCATTTTTTTCAAATTTTTTATGCTTATATATATATATATGAAAAAATTTTCCACTTAGATTTGTGAAACTTACTCCGAACGATTAGTTGTACCAAAATCTGTTAGTGATGATTATCTTAAACGTTCAGCAAATTTTCGTAGTCATGGTCGTTTTCCACTTTTATGTTATTTACATAAATCATCAAAATCATGTATTATTCGATGTGCACAACCACTTATTGGTTCAAATGTACGTCGTTGTAAAGAAGATGAAGCACTTGTTAATTCTATGCTTACACAACGTCATAAAAAAGGATGGATACTTGATACACGACATCCAAATATAGTAAAAATTGCACAAACTAGAGGTAAAAAAATAAAAATAATTTTATTCCTTTCAATTCTTATTAAATTGATTTTAAAAGGTGGTGGATGTGAACCAGAACAACATTATGCACTTTGGAAACGTCTTCATCGACATTTAGATAAACATAATGTTTTACAAGAATCATTTATGAAATTAATGGATGGTATTAGAAATAATAATTTTTGTATTTTTTAAATCAATTATCATAATTTTCTTTTCATATTTAGCATGTATTGATCAATCTGATAAAGATCGGTGGTTATCAAAATTAGATAACAGTAATTGGTTACTTCATGTTAAAGAGGCATTAACAGTAGCATGTATTATTGCTCAAACAATTGATTGTGAAGGTAAAAAAAAATGAATAGAAATTTATAAAATATTAATTATAATTAATATTTATCTAGAAACATCAGTTCTTGTTCATGGTAGTGATGGATGGGATGTAACATTATTAGTAACAAGTCTAGCTCAAGTATTACTTGATCCTGATTGTCGTACAATAACAGGGTATTACAAAAAAAAAGTTTTAAATAGAAATAGAATACTTTTTATTCTTTTTTTTTTTGTTTGTTATAGTTTTGAAGCATTAATTGAACGTGAATGGATTCAAGCTGGACATCCATTTCGGTTACGTTGTACACGATCAGCATTTGGTAAAAGTATTCATGGACAAGAATCACCATTATTTACACTTTTTCTTGATTGTACTTGGCAAGTAAGAGAAATTTAATTTGGAATTTTTTTGTTTTGGTTTTTTATTTGATAGATTTTGTTTTTTTTAGCTTGTACAACAATTTGCTTGTTCATTTGAATTTAATGATAAATTTTTAATTGAATTATTTCAACATGCTTATTCATCAAAATTTGGTAAATAAAAAAAATTTCTACATAAAAATTTTTTTTTTTTTTTGTTTTCATTATATTTAATTTTATAGGAACATTTATATTTAATAATGAAAAAGAAAAAATGAAATATGATGGTATAA